TCTAAATAACCCTAAACCCTCAACCCTAAACCCTCAACCCTCAACCCTCAACCCTAAACCCTAAACCCTCAACCCTAAGCCCTAAACCCTAAACCCTAAACCCTCAACCCTAAACCCTAGCAAGCACGTGCGAGAAACGTCGGTCCTTAAAGTTGCCAGAGGACAACTTCTCGTAGTTGACCACCGAACGGCCCAAGAAATCGCTCCTCGGCAGAGAGCCCAGTAGGATTTAGGGTTTAGGGTTTAGGGTTTAGGGTTTTAGGGTTTAGGGTTTAGGGTTTAGGGTTTAGGGTTTAGGCTCCCAAAGGCTCCATGTACCTTTAGAGTAGAAACTTAAGCCTTAAAGGGGTCCCCATATAGGTACTTTAAGGCCTAAGTATATACTAATATGGGTACATGGAGCCTCAGGGGCTTTGGTTGCCAACCCGTAAGCGTTTAGGGTATTGTATGATTAGGTTTCGTTTTGGACGATAATAGGGTACTTTAAAGGTTCTATCGGGCACTGTAGGGGTTTTAGGGTTTAGGGTATTCTGGGTCCACCTAGTATATACTTTGGCCTTGGCCTTGAGGTACCTGTATAGGGAGACTGCTTCAAGGCCAACGTATATGCTACATGGATACCTGGACCCTTAGGGGAATAGAGGGCTTCATACTATGATTTGAGGTGTATCGGTGTAGTTCTACACCCTAAACCGCAACCCTAACCCTACACCCAAAACCCTTGTACTACAGTGCTGTTGGGCTCTCTGGAAAGCAGGCCCGGGTTAGGACTTTCGGCTTTGACTGCGAGCATCTTACTACCCAGGGCCTGTATAAGGCTGCTATAGCTAAACCCTAAACCCTAAACCCTAATCCCTAAACCCTAAACCCTAAACTCTAAACCCTAAACCCTAAACCCCCTTCAGATTTCCCAAGGATCAGACTTCAAGGTTTAATTCGGTGCTCTTGATGTTCGGCAGACGTTGGTGAAGCGCTCATCCGGCTGATGATAGAAATCCTGCATTACCCATAAGGAGTATACCATAGTTCCCATAGTTGAGGGTCCTTAAGGTAATGCAGGGTTTATATCATCAACAGCAGGGGGTGGAGCAAGGCTGATACAGTTGGTCAATCTGGGTGTTTATTTGCCGCATGGTTTGGATGTACTGGTCCAGCTCGTCGCAAAGCGGGCTTACAGCAAGGCAAGGTGTGGACAAGTCCTTGGGCGCCACTCCGTTCCGGGCTCGTCGAGGAACAGCCACGACTCCTCCTGGGAAAAATGAAAGACCTGACAATGAAGCATTTCTGGAATTATACAAGGCACCTCTGCATGTTTGGGTTGCAGACTTAGGAGCCCAAGATACACATGAGGTTTGGGCTTGCGGGTTAAAAGCGTGCGGCTCATGCCAGTGGGGCTTAGGGTCCGGAGTTTGGCTTTCAAGTGGTCTGGGGTTTATAGGGTTGTTTGCCCAACCTGAAACCCTAAACCCTAGTTTAGCGAGATCCCAACATGTTGAAAGTGCAACAAACCATCCCGAAGCCGTACGTACTCCGGCACCTCCGGGGCACAAAACGTACTACCTCAACCACAAATAGTAAAACAGAGAAGCCTTGCTACTCTCTGAGACAGAGGCCTGAAGAGATAGCAACAGCATACCTTCAGTTTCCTTGCTATAACTCTACTATAATCTGCCCCGCCCAAGGCCCTGTTGTATTAGGCCCTATATTATTGCTTCATGG